TGCTGCTGCTGCTGCTGCTGCTGCTGCTGCAGACCTCTACGGCCACGGACTCTCGGGCTGCCCGCAGTACAGCTTCTTCCGCCGCCGCTTTTCGGTGGACTTCTTCGTCGCCCAGGCCGAAGAGCTCCTCCAGCATTTGAACTTGCATGCGCAGTCCCTCGCCCTCGTCGGCTTCTCCATGGGTGCGCTGCATGCATGCATGCATGCATGCATGCATGCATGCACCTGCATGCGCCTGCATGCATGGATGATGTGTTGGGTTTAGTGCTACGTTGGGTTTTACTTTGTTGCGGGGTTTCGAAGTGTTCGTAAATGTGGTGGTTTGTGTAAATGCATTTAATTGGCAGACACAAACAGGTTTAAATGTAAAAATAATTCAAGTTATGAAGCAAACAAACAAAAGCAAATAAAATCAAATATTTAAGTGTAAATAGAGTCATGAACGGCCAGGGGTTAGGGTTTAGGGTCTAGGGTTTAGGGTTTGGTTGCTGCAGGCGGCGTGATAGCAGCGCGTTACGCGTGCATGCATGCAGCAGAAGTTGCTGCTGTTGCTCTCATTTGTGCTGCTGGTTTGCTGCCGCGGAAGCCTTTTGCTGTTTCGCTGCTGCAGCGCTGCGGCTGCTGCTGCTCCTGCTGCTACTTGTGCGTCCCTTGCTGCTTGTGTCGCTGCTGCTTCGACAAGGCTGCCTTCCTCAAGGCGAGTCCCAAACCCTAAACCCTAAACCCTAAACCCTAAACCCTCGCGGCCCTGAACCCTCCCAAACTCTGAACCCTAGGCGGCCTTCCAAACCCTAGCGTTTTCCTTTGAAGACTTCCTGCGTGCTCTTTGGCTGTGGGATGCTTCGGGCTCTTTGCTTCTCTCTAGGGTTTAGGGTTTGGGGTTTAGGGTTTAGGGTTTAGGGTTTGCTTCTCGAGGCGTGGCTGTTGGCCTGTATTTATCAACCAATGGACATGTGCTGCTGCTGCTGCTGCGAGAAAGCAGCAGCACGTTGGGTTCACTTGAATCGACGTGTCTAGGGTTTAGGGTTTAAGGTTTAGGGTTTGGGGTTTGGGGTTTGTGGCGCAGAAGTACGAAGGAGGAGCTGAAAAAGAGCGGCAGCAAAAGCCAGCAGACAACAACAACAGCAGCAGCAGCAGCAGCAGCAGCAATGCGCATGCAGCCCCAAACTCTCGGGGGGGCTCGAAGCGCGCAGGGGGTCGCCAGCAGCAAAACGGCGAGAGCAGCAGCAGCAGCAGCGCGGAAGCAGCAGCAGATATGGCGGCAACTGCAGCAGCAACTGCCGCAGCGCAGGAAGAGGCGAGCAGCAGCGAAGCAGCAGCAGCAGCAGGGGCCGGAGGAGGGGCGGAAGGCGGGGGGGCCGCGCAGGGAGCAGCACGAAGCAGCAGCAGCAACAGCAGCAGCAGCTGCAGCAGCAGCAGCCCCGGCTTGCTGCTGTGGAAAAGACTCACTTGGCAGGTCTTCGCCAAAAAGGGAACTGTCAGCACTTTCGTTGGCTGCGTCACTCATGTCCCCATTTGGGACGGAAAAGACATTTACGTCCAAGTCTGCTGCTGCTGCTGCTGCTGCTGCTGCTGCTGCTGCTGTTGCTGGTGTTGCTGGTGCTGTTGCTGCTGCGGGTGCGGGAGCGCGTTCTCGTCGTTTCCGCCGCACCTGCTGGGCGTTGCTGCTGCTGCTGCCGCTGCTGCTGCTGCAGCTGGTGGGTGCTGCTGCTGCTGCTGCAGCTGCTGGTGGGCGTGCTGCTGCTGCTGCTGCGTGCGCGCAGCTGGGGAAGCAGCAGACGCCGTGTCTGCTGCTGTGGGGCGGCGAAGACCCAGTGGTCACTGTGAGCTGCTGCAGGGCTTTGGCGCAGCTGCTGCCAAACAGTGCTGCAGTGGTTTTCCCCAACTGCCACCATTTGCTGCTCGCCGAGCGCCCGCATGCATGCATTGCATGCATCATGACTTTCCTCGACTTCTTCCCGGGGGCCCCCCAAGAGGGGGGCCCCCCCAGCTCCTGCGGGGCCCCCCCGGGGGCTTCCCCGGGGGCCCCCGTGGGGGCCCCCCTGGGGGGCCCCCTGGGGGG